ATAATACGACGGCTATTACTACATGCCGTGACGTAATCTGGGTTGTAATTTTTTGAATACGTCTACACCACTAAACCTGACGTTTCTTATTCTATTAATTTCATATGAAGACAATTTTTTATTAATAAGATATTATGCTCTTAAAAAGCCCTTAAATTTATAGCAGCCAATTATACAACCATTTTTCTATATTATGCTATATAAATTTTTATTTCTAGTTCGTTATACTATATAAATTCAGAAATTAAAATGAGTATAGTGTTATAAAAACCTTTAAGTTTAAATTTTTAAAATACAGAAATTGAATATAAAAAATATTAATTTTAAATAACTTAGTACTTACACGATCTCTGTTACAGTACTTTCTGCTAATTCCAACTTTTTTCTTAATTATGCTCATGGGTTTAACGTATATTTTAATATACTTTTAGGTGAGTCAACAAATTTGACATGTGATTTGGGGTACAATTTTTATTCGTATCCAATCAACATGTGATTTTTTGTAGATCAATAAATATTTTGGGGACTAATTTTAAGGCCCAATTTCCCAAATTGGCGGATATGATGGGTTCATTTATCTCGCGTCTAACATCTAGTAAGTTGTTATAATTAATCTTTTAGAAATCCGTTTCTGATTTTGCGTAACTTCGTTGCGCAGTGTTGTAACCCTGGAAGAGACTTGGCCAACATGAGGTCAATTTAGCTCAGGGTTACAAGCATAGGTTATGCGAGATGGATGTTTATAAAGGATTCGGATGTAATGATAGGGGTTATTAAGGAATGTATTTAGTTGGTGTACAATTCATAAGGCACTTTGTTTATTATTTCATTTATGACTCACGTGGAATTCTTCCTATTCTCTATTAGTTTAGCTGTCATTCCAAATGATCGTGGTCTGAAACCAAGATTTGTGGTCTCAAACCAAGATCCGTGGTTCCGAACCAAGATCTACGGTCTTGAACCAATATTTGTGGTTCTAAACCATGCATAGCCATTCCATAACAATAGCGCTAATATAGTAAGAAATACTAATACAATATAGAAAATAAATAAAGAAAATTTAAACACAAAAATTTTCGTAACAGCAGCTGCTTTATAATAACGAAACTTAACGTTAAAAAAAATGAAATCCATTCTTTTAAACTAAATTATCTCACAACATATTACATATTATCCAATCACTATATCAAGACATCCCTGGGTTTTAATGTAAATACAAACGGAAGCATTCACATATATCCAATGACCCAAAATATCATTGTTATTAATACTAATTATTAATTTAAACACCTAATATATACTGTATAACTAAATGGCGTGCATCTTTCTGTCTGTATTCAGCATTTTGATTGGCTGCATAATTTTGGGAAGCTGTGCAAAATACTAAAGCTCATAATACCGATGATACATCACGATAGACAAAATCCTGAAATACTAGAGTCCTGAATAGCTGAATGATACTGACAAGTAAAAATCTTGACGAGATATTAGAGTTTAATAGAGGTTAAATTTTGTATTTTTTTTTTTTAAGACCTTGTTGTTGTCAGGATTTTATACTATTCAAGATTTTTCCCATCAGGATTATCGTTATCGTTATGTACCGTCGAGATTATGAGCCTCAACCAAATCATGTGATCCTCGGCACGTGCGAGTCACTCTAAGTAGTGCGTGTACTTATTACTTGCAGATATGTACTTCATATTTAGTGTTATACAGATACACATGATATGTTACGGTTTTGATGTAACATGTAAGATACTTCAATTAATGCAATTCAATTAATGCAGGTTCTAACGTTTTGTCATTTGATTGTTTACATTATGTTACAGTATATATCCTAATGCTTTATGTCCGTATATGTCAAATTAGATACTAACGCTAATGATACTCCATAAATTAGGTAATATTATAATAATGGCTGTGTCAAAATAGATGACCTACATTCATCCAGGCTTGGACATTTTTGCTGAGCATGCAGATCAAAATAAGCAATCGGGTAGTGTATTTTCAATCTAGGTGATCTTAGTGGCTTTTTAATCACGCAACATTATCATTATAATTCGATTATCAAGCGCATACTGACATCGACAGGGTTTAATCCCGAGAAGTGGTTGATGGTTACTTATTGATCATCATTAGCATACTATATATATATAGCATAAAATAAAGATTTGCATCAAAAAAGTCCCTACGTAAAAATTTACGACTCATAATTATATATATTTTTTGTTAATGATCATATGCATCAAAGTATTAAATGATATATCTAAAGATTTTGCTGATTGGACCTTTATAATTAACTGCCTCGAATTTTAATAATAAATATTTATGTTGTATAAATGTACGACTTTAAAATATTTCTGTAGTTGGGTAATCTAAATTAAGATCTGCCAAGTTCTTGGCACAGTTTTAAAAATAGGTATAACTTGAAAACTTTAATAATTTCTTCTTTATTAAATTCATCATTTTCTCGTAAACTAGCAATTTTTAACTTAAAAAAAAAATTTTTAAATAATGAAGTTATTCTATTTAATTTCATCTCTTTTCACAATAATAATAACTTTTACTTGGGCGAATGCTCAACAACTTTGTAATGGACATGCAGAACTTTGTAACAAATCTTATTCAGCCGTATCATTTGTAGCAACACATAATTCTTATGCTTACGGAAATCTTGTTGCGGCAACTCAAGATTATAGCATTCCAACACAATTAAAAGATGGAGTTCGAGGATTTCTTCTTTCTGCTCTTGCAAGCCCTAATCCATCAAGCACTGATATAGAACTTTGTCATACATCTTGTAGTTTATTAGATGCTGGAACTGTAGTAAATACATTAAAAAATTTTACAACATTTTTACAAAATAATCCAAATGAAGTTATTACACTTTTTTGGAGAAATGATTTTAGTAATCTTACAGCTACAGATTTTAAAACAGCTTTTGATAAAGCTGGTTTAACACAATATTGTTTTACTCAGCCACTTGGTTCAGCTTGGCCTACAATGTCTGATATTATTAGTTCAGGAAAACGTGTTATGAACTTTCTTGATTCAGGTGCTGACACGACCACTGTACCATGGTAATTATTACTTTTGCTTTTATTATTTATTGCGATTTTTTTATTTAGATCAATTATTAAAATATACTTGTAAAAATATAACTTTTATAGGTTAATGGCGGAATATTCATATGTATTCGAAACTCCATACGATAATACAGATCCTAATGCTGTTTGGCCATGTACAATTGATCGTCCTAAAGGTCAAAGTCGTCCATTATACATGATAAATCATTTCCTTTATACAGAAATAGCATCTTCATCAATAGAAGTTGAAATTCCAAGTCGAAGCATTGTAAATTCAACAAATAGTCTTAGCTTACAAACTCAAGCTCAAAATTGTACAAAGATTTTTGGTAAAGCACCAAATTTTATTGCTGTAGATTTTTATGATCAAGGTAGTAAGGATTTAAATGTATTTAGTGTTATTGCTAATTATAACGGTGTACCATATACTCCAACAACTTATGGTGACGGTTCTATCAATAATAAGGTTTCATCAAAAGCAAATAGTATAAAAATCAATTTCTCCACTGCTATTGTTTCTTTATTAATCATTTTTATTTTTGCTGTTGTTGAATTGTAATTATAATATTAGAAATTTTATCAGACTTTTTTTTTTTTTAAAAAAAAATTGTAACTTTATTTAACTAATAAATTTTAGAATTTGTCTTGTAAATAAAATTACTTTATTTAAATCAGAACAACTTCTACTACTTGTAATTGAATACATGCACATTCTCTTTACAACTAACTCTCATTATAGTAAACTCTCGATATAGCTAACATAATGAATTACGTACATACAGTTAATGTATTCGATTTTTCGTTTACGAGTCTATTCGATCATTTTTTTTAGCAAATGAAAAAAACAAACTCCAATTCAAATTTTTGCTACCTTCTATGCTTTAAAATAAAGAGCTTTTCTCACGGAATTTTACCGTTATATCATCTTTCTAACTCTTAACCATTACTCTAAATTTAAGTTTCTTCGACGCGACATCACGTGATCAAAGATTTTCTTAAGACATAAAATATGCATAATACTGTAATACCGAGTAGAAAAAGAAGTATAAATAACTTAAAAACTATTTTTATGAAACACGTACTCGATTATCACTGTTCAAGAGAGTCTACGGCATGAATGGCTAGTTCAAATGATAAACTCGATGATCTGGTTATCGTCTCGTCCACTATTCCTCTTTCTAACTCTGACTGTATCGCTATAGCTTGTAAGAAATATTAACTGCAAAATTTAATTCGAATCGCTTTAACCATTTTAAACTAAATTATAGTTACTTCTATAAATAGCCTCCTATTTAAAAATTCCTATTTAAAATCATTAAGTTACACGATCTAATTTGGTTATAAATATTGAATAGTCATCAAAATTATCCGTTTATTTTGCCAAGATAACGCAAGGGATTTAACCGATAACATAGTTAAGAACAGTGAAATATTTTTACTCAATTTTTATTAAAGCAAAGTTCATTCTATTTTATTTGTGTAAATGCTAGAGTTCATACTAAGTGTCGCACAAACCATCTCCTGCGGCAATGACATAAAGTACGTACGTACGTACCTGATACATACGTAAAACCTCTTCCTCCTGCAGACTAATGTTACGTATTGGTTATTTTTTAATTCCTTGTTTAGAAAGTGTTTAAAACAAAAAATTAAAATTGACATTATGCTTTGTTTGAAATTAAGGCAACGTTAGAGATAAACTCTCTCCTTACGTTTTTTTTTATTCCCCCAAAAATGCAGTATGTACGTACGTACTATGGGTTTAAGCCCCGTTTTTTTAAAAATTTATAATTTGATTGATATAGGATATTTAAATATCCTTGATAATTTCCGTAAAGGGAAACCCATTTTTTTTATTAAGAGTAAAAAAAATATTATGTCATATTTTACAACTACAGTAAGTGGTGCTCTAAGTAAAAATACTCTACATCTTCCAAAATTCCTTTTGCTTACACTAATTTATACCCCTAATTCTAAATTTTGGTTGACTACCTCTGATGTTTTATCTGGAATTAATTTAGTTTAAATAAAAATTTTAATCAGACAAAACTTTAAATGTCACTGGAAATCGCTAAAAGTTAAAATTAATATTAACGCTAATAAAGCAAATGTTTTTATGTGCAGAGATTGTATCATTTGAATAGCATAAACCATAGTAACAACCATGGTAACTAAATAGAAAAATGAGTATATCCTTCAATATCTATCACTTCCTGATTAACCATTTTTAACATTCGACAGAAGCTTCTAACAATAAAGTGCCAAGCACAACCGTTGTTAATCACCATATATCTTCCAATCAACCAGACTCTCTTACGTTTTTTTTGGTATTCATCTTCCGAAATTGCATCCAATATTTCACTAATTCTATGAAACTCACTACGTCGAACCCTAACGATCATAGAATCCCAATCAACATCGTCTTCAAAAGGTTTAATAATTCCATCATCAATAACAATAGGAACCACTCCAAATGAAAGATATTCCCATATACGAGTAGTATCTAATGTCCATTCAGATGATGTCAATCCATATTTTGTTCTTGCGAGTAATCTAGAATACTCTTCCCTGTCTGATGATTCTTCAATATTCCAACCAGGTAATCCTTTTAATCCATTAAATATTACATGTTTAATACCATCAGAATAAATATCCGTTACATTAGTATTTGCATAACTTCCTCTAAAAATTCCTTTAATATTCCGTCCTCTTGGACTTCCAGTTTTATCAACAAATTGATGAGGATTTAATCTAAAAATATTTAATATTGGAGTAGAACTTGGTATAATTATAGTATTATATCTTCTAAATTTTTGATCAATATTTCTCTTATCACCAAAAGTTGTTAAATAAATAGAATTATGAAATAAATAATTTTTTTCATAATAATTATCTGAATTATCCATTGGATGTATCATAAAATGATTTTTTCCATTAGTTTTATTCCAATAATTAAAATTTTGAATAATATAATTCATTAATGGTTCTAAATAATTTGAATCTACTTGACATTTTTCTTTTTCATTCCAATTATTCTTTATCCAACAATTAAATAAATAACAACTTCCAAAAAATGGTATATAAAATAAATCTGCTTCTTCAGGTTTTTCTGTTATATATAATTTATAAAGTGATGAATTTACTGTTGATAGTTGATTATATAATATTAATTCCACATTATATTTTGAAAATATACATCGTTGTTTTTGAAATTCGTCTATTTGAATTTCCGGTGGAATTTTATATATGTATATTTTCGGTCGACATATTGCATAACCTTTAATAATAAATGATAATAAATTTTATTCGATAAATGAATGGAATTTTAATACAATATAGTGAGTGGTGTGAGCGCAATGCCGTAATTTTGTCGTAATTACAACAAATTACGGTATTGCGCTCTCACCTCTGATACTGTATAGAATTAATAAACCGATTAAAATATTCATTAAAAAAAAAAACCTACGTAGGTCAGGGGGCCAAATTCTCCATTTATCTTCTATAGGAGGTAATGGAGATATTGTTGCTAACGGTGTTGGTGTTGATAACACTGGGAGTTCAGTTGATTTTTTGGATTCATTAGGTTTAATAATATTTACTTTCCTAACTCGAATAAGTAGATGACTTAATATAATTAAGCCTAATATGCAAAGCGTTAAAGTCGTGAATAACGTGAATTTTTTCATAAGTGTCGTTTTTTTTTTTTTTTCTACTAATACATTTGGTGCAATGAAGAACAAAAATCTAGTTATTATATGATCTACACTTTTTATCCTATAAAAAAAAAATTGTTTTTATTTCGTGCAGCTCGTGTTTATTGTGCGAGCGATACAAACCTAAATAAAGATAACAAATCAAAAAGAATATAAATTTTGTTTATCTCGATCAGCACGAAGCCACGTGAGCAAATAACAAAAAAGAAAAAAAAATGATTGAAAACAAAAGAAAGATGAAAATATAAGAAAATGAATGTTTAAATCTTCTTTATGTAACTGTTTAAGAACGACGGAAATGGAATTTCATATAAAGAATTATTTTCTATAGCTCCACCCAATCTCTGACCTGATACTAATGTCATAACTAAAATCGGTTAATAATTTCTTGTTTGTATGTAACACATGTGGAATTTCTCTTCATTCATAGGCAAACATTCGTTTTTTGATTGATATAAATCAATTACTTGGCAACTTATTCATACACTTTTTGAGACATAACGTTTCATTAATAAAAGATCGCTGTAAAAGCCATTCCTAGCTTTATCGCGATTTGCAACTCGTTGATCGTTCGAGTAATGATCATCCATCACAATCGATCGCGATTGTGGCGAAAGCAAGTACTTCTATTACATCAAGAGATTGAATCCGATCGATTATTTTAGGAAATTGTCATAATTTATTCTCAAAAGATCATTTGACGTTTTACATACTTTATTGCTCCACAATCACATTCAATTATGCGCAGATAATACCATGCCCTATTTTTTATATTAAAATTCGATTGGTCAATCAGATTATAAAAATGGCGTACTGTACGTACGTAAATAACTTTTTCTTCTGTATTTACAATTGACTCCTCTGAAATTTATGTTTTCAAACCTTTTACAATATATATTCCATGATCTAATTAATATAAGTGGCCTAGTCAGCAGGTCAAAATATTATTGTAGCAGCAGTTATTTGTTATAATAATTATAATCAAGATTCAGTTATAATGAATCAAAATATCGGTTAGAAGATGATCAAGAAAAGAAAGTGGTACATAAATTTCAATTTGATTGAATATTTATGAAATTTTGATCAATGATATTATGGACATAATATAGAGTGTTTTCTATGTTTTCTAATAGGGAATTTGATAAACCAACAAGAGAACCACCATACGTCTCAAACATTGTACATATGAAAAATTAGAAGAAATAGTTTAATTATATTTAGTATAAAAGTAATAATGTAGTTGTGAAAATATTACGCCTGATTCTGATAATACTATTACATTTGGTCAACGAAAAATATTCTCATATGTATAGAAATGCTTTCACGCCAATACGAAGTACAAAAAATGGTATTGTAATGACAAATACTAAATTAAAATTTTATAAAAGAAAAGTTTGTATAGGATTGTATAAAATCCACACTTTAATATAATATTGTGTGTTGTATAGTACACTGTTCTGTATATGTTTAGCATTTTGAATCAAAAATTTTTGTATCTCTTATTGTGCTTTAATATTATAAAGTAAACAATATACTTACTGTGCTATTTTATTTTAATATCTTGTTTTAATTTATTTATAAAACCTAAATATTTGTTATCATATTAAATAAAAATTTATTAAATTCTTAAGGTTTACTGCATTATTATATACTTTATATTGTTACAAATTATAAAATTACTAAAACGCATAGTAATTATTAGTTAATTTAGATGGCAAAATATTTGATATAAAATTATAAAGAATAGAAAATCTAGCACTAGAAATAAATTATATAAATTACAGTATATTAAAATAATAATTTTTTTTTAATAAATAAAATTTAGGCTTTTGACTAATTTTAGTACAGATTGAAATTTTCAAAGAATTATATATATAAATATTTTTATTTTTTTTGGTATTAAGGTGACCTCTTTGGCCTGGGGACTTTTTACTGGAGGACCAGAAAGCGGTCTTTAATGTAATTACAACGATGGTACATCAAGCCACACGTGCACCTTTTGAGTGCCTATTTAAGTAGTCCGCCCAAAGGTTC